TAGGTGCCCATCAATGACCAAATGAACAAAGAAACTAAGATACATATATGCAATGAGATATTTATTATTCACCCCTAAAGCAGATTATGGTCTTGTCATTCACCACAACTTTGATAAAACTGAAGGACATTATACTAAGTGAAATAAGCTAAACACAGAAAGAAAATTATTACATATGCACGTGTGGGATCTTTAAAAAATGTACTATCCAGAAATAGAGAATAAAACACAATAGTGAATACCAGAGTAGGGATAGGAGAAATGGGAGATATAAGTCAAAATATACAAAGTAGCCGATATGTAGGATATATGTATTAATCTAGAAATAGAATACACAACATGAGGACTATTAGGTAATTAAATTGTACTATATATGGGATTCATGCTAAATGAGTAGATTTTAACTGCTCTTGCAACAAAAAAATGGATAACTATATGAAATGCTGAATATGCTAATTTGCTTCACTATGATACTATCTATATACTCTATCCATTTATTTTTTCCACATATATTTTATGCAGTGTATATATATATATATATATATATATATATATATTCCCTTAACATCATGTTTGTACCTTAAATGTATACAATAAAATTTATTTCAACCACAAACCAACCAACCAACCCTAAAATCCAATAGTGGTGTAAAACATTTTTTTTCCTAGTGATGAATATATTTATGTAAGAAAATGTTAAAAACTTTAAAGTGTTTACAACCCAAAAGAATGTTATAATTCTATTCCTGATGGTGTCTTTATAGTTACACACTTATGGTCCTCCAAAATGCACAGAAATTTAGAGTTGGGATTTGAATAGGAAATGATTCTCAGAAAAGGGAGAGAAAAGCTTTCAAAAAGCATAGAGAATATACAAAAAGACACAAAAGTGTGAATTGGCCTTTGCTAATTGGAGAATGCAGAATAGAAATTGAGGCATGAGGGAACCTGTGGAGAATGGAGGGATATGAAGCTGAAATGTGAGAATGGAGATAATGAGGAGTCAATAAACATTGAAAGAGCAGCAAAGGAAAAATGGAGAAGAAAAAATCCCTAAATGGTATACCTACTATCATAACAATACTAGAATATAAATTACATGTATGACATCATAAAATCCCTCAAACAATTCCATGAGATCAGTACTGTTCTCACTGCTAAAGTACTGTTACATAGGTTAAGACTAAGGATCTGAAGTATTCAATTTAGCAAGAATGCTGGAATCCCTTACCAAAAGACGTCTTCAATCTCAGGAAAGATTATTTATCCAAGGTTGTATATCTAAGAAATGGTAAAAACTGCTGTTCATGAAGAAAGTACTATTGTAATAATTATTATCCAGAGAAGTAAATGAAGGTTCAGAACAGTTAAATAAGCAGCCTAAAGTTACACAGCTAAGACATGGCAGAGCAAATATTTATCCACCTATCTGAACTTGAAAGTCTGTTTGGCATTGTGCTTCCTGATCCAGGGTTCTGTCCTGCTTTTACAGAAAAGTGGGGCATGATGAGAAGGATTAACTAGTTTTATTTGTTCTATTAAATACTTGAGCCTCCGTTATCTTTTTGAAACAGTGCCTCTTCCTATATTATTTTCTTCTTCTAAAAATAACTAAAATGGCCCAAATAGCAAGAGCCTAGACATACATGTTCTATGTTCTAACCTTCAAGAAATAATTCTTATATAATAACTTTCAGGATTCACTGTAGATAGAAGTCTTCTAAGTTTTAGTAATTTAGTATTTTGTATAGATTTTTTTAAAAAGGTTTCATTCATTTATTTGGAGGACATCAACAGGCACCTACTATATAGGACCTGAATCAAATGCAAGGAATAGAGCAGTGCATAAAAGAATGGTTCCCCCTCCATTTCCATGGGATTAAGATGTTCTCACATGGCAATAGAGACCAGAAATGAATGACTGGTGCAGAGATAGTTTCATTGCATGACCTCTCAATCTATCTGCTATATATTGTACATCCACAAGAAAATAATTTTTTAAAAAATAACAACTATAGGTAAATGGCAGGAAGATCAATTGAGGGAAGAGAGCAGGGAGTGGGGAAGGGAAGTAGAAGGAGAGGTACTAAGGACTGAATTAGAACAAGATACATTCCATGCTTGTATAATTACGTCAAAATGGATTCTACTGTCATGTATAACTAAAAAGAACCAATAAGTAAATAAATATATAGAGAAATTTAAATAGATGATAGATACTTGTTCCTTTTCCTCAGTGGAGAATTTTATGTTATCATTATTCCTTGACCCTTCTTAAAATGTTTTAATTGTCTTGAATCATTTTCCCTTTTCAAATCTTAATCCCTGGACTATCTTTTCAATAGACATTTTTTCCAAAAGTACTTTCCAGAAAACAGTAGTCTGCTCATTGAAGTCTGAACATTCTTTGCAATCTCATCCTTCACTATATTAAAATTTAAGATGACATGATAATTTCCACTTCATTAAGTACTTCTTTGTTGGTCTAGAGAAGAAAAAAGTCTCTCTTCCTCTTCTCATTTGAAAGTCCAATTTTCAATAAGTCAAGTTCCAAAGGAAAAAGAAGTACTGTAGGACACTTCACATAACCTTGAAATATTCCTAATCTGCTGAATATTGGCTGGGTATTCATTGTATATCTACTTAGGAATAATTTGTCCTGTTTTTCAGTGAGTCTAGTGTTCTGCAGTGAGTTTCTATGGTGATATTTCAATATTTCTCTTTTCAGACTTACCCAATGTGTTCTTTCCAGGGATTCAGCTCCTCTGCTGGAAAGCCTTTTAAGGTTTCTAGACCTTGTTTGTTCCTGTGTACAGTTCCCCTAGACTATGGATCACAAAATGCTACTTCTGCTTTAGATTATATTTCATTTTCTTTCTAGAAAGAGCCTCAGAGACATGAGATAGCATCAAGAAATAAAACTTCTTCTTTATCTCCTCAGTATTATTTTATTTCAATCATTAATTTTTGGCATTGGATTTTGATTTCGACATCTCAAACACTTTTCTTTATGCCTTGTTCAAGATTAGTTCTTCCATCTGTACAAGATTTGGTGTCTCTAAGAAGTTCAGGAGATAAGAAACATTCTTCCATACATCTCATCTTCTCTAGTGAAGAGACAATTTTGGATTGAACCCAAGGACGTTTAACCACTCACTTATTTTGAGACAGGGTTTCACTAGGTTGCTTACAACCTCACTAATTTTCTGAGGCTGCCTTTGAACCTACCATCCTCCTGTCTCAGCCACCTGAGCTGCTGGGATTATAGGCATGTGCCACCATGCCTGACAAATGAATAGACAATCTTAAAAGTCCAAACGGTCTAGACATGGTAGTGTGCACCTGTAGTCCCAAAAGTTTAGGAGGCTGAGGCAGGAGAATCACAAGTTTGAGACCAGTCTCAGCAAGTTAGTGAGGACCTAAGCAACTTAGCATGACCCTGTCTCAAAAGCTAAAAAGACCTGGGGGTATCACTCAGAGGTTAATGTCCTTGGGTTCAATCCCTGTTACCAAAAAAATCTAAACTACAATTCAAACATAAAATTTAATATATGACCACCTCAGAATGAAAATCCAGTACAAAATGGCACATTTGTTTCGTGTTGCTGGTATAATTCCCTTGTCCATGCCTCCAAGTTCTACTACTGAGATGTCTTTTGCAGTTTTCCCTGAAAACTCCCCTTTTGAACTACATAATCTAATATTTGTTCATTGCTGGACTCCAAGTTATATTAAGCTCTTGAGGTCATTGGTTATCAAGTGGATACCATTCCTCCTTTCCACCACTCTCCTCCTATAACACAGCTGTGTGCTAGTTATTTAGTGTGTTGTTATTTAGTATCATTTCACATGAACCAAGTTCAGCCCACTTCAGTCAAAACAGGGCTCCACAAAGTCCTCTGACTCTTTCCCCAGTAATCCAGGTTACCATCCTTTATCACCATGTTCCTTTGTGGAGTGTTTTTGCTTGTTTGTTATTAATCAGGTGTTTATAAAAATACTAACAGCATTATTGATTACCTACTAATATCAGGCACTGTACTAATACTGTTGTTGTAATGATGATGTTCTCTTTCTGGTATCATTGTATGTTCATTGCTTGTATTAGTAATTGAATCCATACAACTGCTTCTGTGACATTACCGTTATTATTCCTCCTCTACCCAGAAGAAAACCTAAAGCTTAGATTAGATAACTTAGCCAACATCCTAGAGTTCCTAGGCAGAGAGCAAGATTCATTCCCAGGTCTTTTTACCCCAAGAAGTCAGATCTTAACCATTACCATGTGTACTATCTTACACTGCAGTGTTCAACACTATTAATACTAAGATTTCTTGCTGACCTTAAAGCAGTGTTTCCTGTGTGAATAGAAAAAGCTTCACTAGCTCTCATTTTCCAAAAAATAATGTACTTTGGTTTTTCTTCACTGCTAGTCACTTTATTATCAATCTAGAAGTAAAGAAAAACATAAGATTAACTGTTCCCAGAATAAAATACAGAGCTAAGACAAGAACATTTCATTGAATTTGATTTCCCTAGGGTCTTTCTCCAAAGTAATTGACTAGTTATAAAAGAAACGATAAGTCTGAAATAAGATTTTATTCAGTCCTTTGTTTTTCCTTTTTTTCTCTGAATGAAAAAAAAATAGGTAAATCTTATTCACCTGGAAATGTCTGAATACTTTTGTTTACCAATTTCCTAGTCTATATAATTGTTATTGAGAAGTATTATTTAAATCGAACTATTTGTCCAAGCATGAGAATAGTTTTATCATTTTGAAAGATTATTAAGTATGTATTGATATTTTCTTTGAATTGATATTTTCTTTGAATTTCCTATGATGTATTATTTTATGAAGTATTCACATTGTTATAAACAGATATGTCATAAATAATAATATCAAATTGTTGCCTTTTAATTAAAATTAATTGTTAATTAAATTCACTCTTTAGCTTGTGTTTCTAATTTTCTTTTTCTTCTTTTCTCAAAAAAAAATTTAGCTCCTAGTCAGACTGTTACTCTAGTGACACAACCTGTGGTTACCAAGGAAACTGCTGTCTCCAAACTAGAAATGCCATCTTCATTGCTGTTGGAAGTTCCTGCTCTGGCAGATTTCAACCGGGCTTGGACAGAACTTACTGAATGGCTTTCTCTGCTTGATCGAGTGATAAAATCACAAAGGGTGATGGTCGGTGATCTTGAAGACATCAACGAGATGATCATCAAGCAGAAGGTATGAGTTACAAATATAAAAGCTGGCAGAAGGTTTACCTTAAATTACAGATTTTTCCACTAGTCACACCACTCTCCTAGACCATTTCCAACCAAGTCTTTAGACAGTTCTTTCTCTATCAGCAAGCACACTACTCTCTCCACTCTGTTCAGCCCAAGTATGAGCAAGGGTATGAATTAAGGCAATTAACTGTAGTAATCATGAATTAAAAGGAGGAAAATATAAGGGAAAAAAGCATACGCCTTCAAGTATAGTTGGCTTAGTTAAATTTAACAAACAAGTGGTATTTTAAAAATCTATTTGATACCAAATAATCAGCTTCATCGAACTGTTTACATTTAAACTGTTTTGGAACTTTGTACCCATTATGTATCACAGAATCAAACATAATAATCTGGGACTTGTTTGTTATCTACTATTCTAAGTTGTCTGTGCCAATTTTCCTCTTTAAATAATAAGGAAAATTGGAAGTTAATTATAAATAAAAAAGAAAACTAACAAGCAATAAAATATTTTAAAATAACCTAGATCTCAATATTGGTATTTCTGCCCTGCCATATTCAAATCAACATGTTTTTAATACAATATTTCATTTATCAGTTTCATTGGAATCCATTTGGTAAAATTATGACATCTGCTAGAAACCTATAAATATGTTGATACAAATGTGGTTTATCTAGGTAAAAAATTATAATTGGTATCTTCTATATTTATGAATGGGTGAAAAAGTAATTTTGAAAGTTTCAGACACCATAGTCACTTTACTTTTAAAAGCTTTCAAACATTTCAAAAGAAATAATCAATTGTGGAGGTATTCAAGTGTTAAATAATTGCCTTTTGAAAACAAGGAACAGGGCAGACAGTGCGGGTAATATCTTTGTGGTGCTAAAGATGGAACCCAGTGCCTCACACAAGCTAGGCAAGTGCTGGACTACTGAGCCACAACCCCAGCCCCTCTACTACTGCTTTTTAACAAGTGTTCATAGCCATATTTTTTAAGAAAAAAAACAGATTCATAGATGTCACCCTCCTATTAGGTAGCAGAGCAAGTACTCAAATCCAAGTCTGTTTGATTCCTAAATGTGGGTTCTTACTTACTACATACAGTGCCTATAATAACTATAACTGTAGTGACTATTTAGTGTGTGTGTGTGTGTGTGTGTGTGTGTGTATTTATATATTTGTGTCTATGGTCTATATCAGACATTATGCTGATAATTTTATATTGAAATGTGCTGATAGATGCAGAAACAAGAGCTACATTATTTCATGATATCATTTTACTAATACTTCCATGAGTATTATTTATCAGAGGAGGCAATATATTATAGTGTTTAAAAGATAGGCTTTGGAGTTAGACTGTCTGGGTTCAAAGCTTGGCTCTATTACTATAGCTGTGTGACTTTGGATGAGTTGTTCAACCTCCCTAAACATGAATTTATCATTCTGATAAATATGGATAATTATACTATCTGCCTCATAGGTTACCATGAGAATTAAATTAAGTAGTGCATGAAAAAAATATTTTGCATTGCTTACTGTGAGTGTTCAGAAAATGTTAGGATCAATATTAAGTTTCATAGCAAACTCTGGAAACCTTCTCACTCAGGGCATTTGTATTATACAAACTGTATGTGACATAATAATATGGAACTGACAGCTGATTTCCATATCAGCACCCTATTCCACCATTAATATTATGACCTCCTGTACAACCTCCTTGATATTAAAGCGAGAAAGTACACACTCCCTTGTGATGGGTTCATGAGCCTAGCCTTTATAGAAGCCATTGTCATGTTCAGTAGTCTTCAAAGTTCTCTAATAAATTTGTCTTTTTCGGAAAGTACTATTAATTTGGTGTCCTTCACAGAGATTATCTTTAAATATAGGCATGAAATTAGCTAAGAAGTGTTGAAGAGCCATACCTGGGGCAGGGAAAATTAACATTTATAAATTATATATGTATAATATGAAAATTAAGTTTATATTTGTAAATATACATTCATATATATGAATATGTTTATATTAAATTTTATTAACATATATTTCCAATTTCCCTTACCTTGCTAAATAGTAAGGATACTATACTTCTGCTGCTTCCTTCTTTTACATTGAAAAGTAATTTATGAAGACACTGTCAGTTCTTGCCTTTTATAGCTTTAATCACTAAATAGTCAATGAAATGATCATAATTGATTATTAAAGAAATATAGTATATGGAATGAAACAAGAAGGAGAGGTAAGTTTAGGGAGCATTTTATTATATCATAAATAAATAAATAGTTCCTTTGAGTAAAAGTTTAAATAAAACAATCCTGCCTCTAATGTTTGATATGTGAGAAATGAGTTAATATCCCAAAAGTTATTTGTATAGTGTAGAAATTCTATTAACACCTGTTTATTCATATATTCCTTTAGCAAACTTTTATTGATCTGCTACTATGTACTCAGGAAATACAAAGTTGTACAAGATAAGAATGCACAGGTATAATGTTGAAAGGGAGAAAAACAATAATAATGCTATAAAGATAAATTTTAGAGTGATAGCTCCAAAATATTTAGCACACATTACATGTCAATCACCAACTGAGGTAGGGAAAAACATTACATAACAAGAATTGTGATTCCATATGGCTGAAGTTAAGATTGTATGATAATAAAGAAATTGATGAGGTTGGATAGAGAGAAGTGGAGCTAACTAATGGGGATACTTGCCAGACTGAGGAGATTTGTTAATGGCCTGTAGGCAGTGGCCACCCTTAAAGGATTTTAAACAGTAAAGTAAAATCATCCAGTGTAAAAATTTCAGTTGTCTATCAATTTGTCTGGATGCAAATAACAAATCATTCTCTGATTATATCATCAGAAAGTGAATTTACTAGAATTAGCATGAAGGCAATGGAATAAGGCTTAGATGAAGATCTGAGCATGCCTAGGTACCTAATTAGCAGAAATTAGTTGAGTCTCTTTATGATACTCCTTTTTCTTCATCCTGTGTAACTATGTTCAAAATTTAAAGCCTAAAAGAGAGAATCCAGTTGACCTTGCTTTGGTCCCACCCATCTCTTAGCTAGAGAAAATCAGAGAACCTTTATTCAAAGCCTTCTTTCAAAGTCCCTTACAATGAAGGAGAGATGATCTCCCCTCCCTCAGCTAAAAGAATTTGGGATCTGTTGACAGTAAAAGAGAGAAAGGATGCTGAACAGCCAATGAACACTGAATTCAGGCAATGAACAAGGATAAAGGACAGAAAAAAAATGATTTTCAGGCAGTAATTATTGTTGAGAGCCACAACCGTAGGGGCCCCAGCAAACTTCCAGCTGCCAGGAAACTTCCAGCTGCCAGCTGATGATTGGCTCACAGCGGCCCCAGCAACATCTAGCTGATTGGCTCCTCTGCAGTGATGTTCATTGGGCTGTTTCTCTGCCCTTTCAGACCACGGAGCTGCTCATTGGGGGACTTTTTTGGCTCCACCCACGTGACTCAGCCAATTGGCCTCAAAAGCAGGAGGATTGTGGGAGGTGGAGAGACTGGTGTGGGTGAGAGGCTTGTGGAAGCTGGTGGTGGCAGTTGGGCTCTGAGGGTTTTTTCCTGAGGAGCTGTTTTGTTTGGCGTTTGTAGTTCTAAAAATAAAGTTAGTTTCTTTTGACAAGTGGCTCCTGAATTGTGCCCAGCCAGACTGCGAAAAATTATCATAGTCTAAACAACAGCTTTAACTACTTCAACTTTGTAACCTGGAGTCACAAAATAAAGACCATTTATACATTAGTACCTACCCCAAATATAATTTCTTGACCTTTACACATTCAGTGATTGGCTCTCAATAAATGTAGATTGTTGATGGATAATATGAATGAAATATGATAAGGAGATTAAATTTTTAACAGATTAGAATTTGGGGATTCTAATTGTAACTGCAAAGCATCAGAAGTTAGGTGACATGATGTAACAAGATATTTTATGACTCAAGAAGTTAGATTTGAATGCATGAAGTTCAGATCACACCTTAGACATGCAGTAATTGAAATATTGACCCCAGAAAAGATATAAGGACATACACTTGTATATGCTAGCCTTGCAGTAGCTTTAGATGTTAAATTTTAAAATCACACACCTGGCAAAAAGCTTCTGTTGTCTTTAGCATACGTTATTAAAATTAAATTTCTTTTTTTAAAAAATGGGAGCTGCCACAATTTCTAGATAATAACTTATACTAAGCAAATTAAGCAAAACATGGAAATTAAAATTACACCTTTAATTTTTGAGATTTTACTAGGGATTGAATCAGAACAAATTATATTATGTGTCTTTATAATTATGCCAAAATGAATCCTAATGTTATATATAACTAAAAAGAACCAATAAAAATGAAAATATGAAAAATCAATATTAATCTTTAAAAAATAAAATGTAGTCATCTTTGGGATTTTTAAAATGTAGCCACTATAGAATTAAGTAACTCTACTGCTAAATTTTGGAGAGTAAAAAATAGACCATTATCTTTTAGAGAAATATACATGTGATACATGCAAATTAAAACTTTAAATGTTAAAAAGTACATGCAGCTAAAAGTTTATTTTCTAAAATTCTGAATTGATAATAAGTATTATTTATAATCTATAATTGAGAAATTAAATTTGTTTCCTATTTCATAATTTTAAGTGAAATTGCTCTGAGATAAAATTGTTCTGATGATAATTAGCAGTTTTATTTTTTGTGTATAATCTATCAGTCAAAGGAAAACATCTATCTAGAGTCAGATTGTTACTTCTGACCCTTAGGAAAGAAAGGAGGGAGGATAAAAGGAAAAAAAGGAAGGAAAAATGAAAATTAAAAAGGATAAAAGAGAAGGAGGGAGAAAAAGAAGGATAGAGGGAGAGAGTTGGATAGGAAATCTAGGGAGAGGTTTGGAACACTGGAGATAAGTGTTGCTATCAACAAATTGGATTTAGGTGGCCATATGATACTGTTATTTTTTTATACTACTAGTGTCTGATTGC